TGTTTCAATACTACATCATCGACATTTTTCATAACGATGCTCATTGCAAAATTATTGCACTGAATTATTTAGGCTAAGAAGAAAATAGATAACTTTTGCATTTCTTTGTGGTTCATTAAAACTCTGAATATTGGCGAAACCTTTTTATTCTTTGTAGATATAATTCCTTCATAAATATCCATGTCTAACAATAACCGTTACATTAATAAGAGAAAAATAATAATTGATTTACATTGTTCAAATGTTTCTAAACAGGAGATTTCTGCATTAATTCAAGTTCCCCGCGTGGAAAATTTAAGCGTGTCTTCATGCATATACGTCATAGCATTGGGTAAATAAGTACTGCTCATTTTGCAGTTAAGCCTTTCTATGGATGACTATACTTTAACACACAGTATGATCTGTGATCATAACTCATAGTTAAGCCTATTTGTTTGTTTTCGTTGTTTAGTGTAATATTTTCTAGGTATGTAACATACATTTCAAACTTATTAACTTTAGTTGATCATTTGAAGGAAATTTTAAAACTACGTTTTTCTCTTCAGTTTATATAGGTACTTGTATTGCCACAGAATGAATAATTGAGGTTACAAGTGTAATAGGTGTGCAAATGATTGACAGTGAAAAGAGAAGTGCGAACGAGCCATATATTAATTATTTAAATAATTTTAATGTTCAGTGATCTTTCTTTCACTTCAGCAGATATGAGGGTTGCATCCAAAACGTCCTCCCCTCCCTCACCCGATGTGTCAGCGTTTAGTTCATGAGCTTACAACACTAAATTCTAGGGTTAGATTTCCCGTGGTAGACAGAGCACAAATAGCTTTTTGTGTAGCTTTGCGCTAAGAAATAACAACAATAGCAGCGTACGAAATTTAATTATTCTAGTTAACACCGATCGTGAATCATCGCAAGGTTTTTCTGATGGTGAATTTGAAAGGAAACTGGCTAATGAAAGGTAAGAAGCTGAATCACCGTTCTCATTATCAAGATCTACGTTAAAGGCTGCGGAGTGATAAAAAGAAAAAAGTTCATTTCAATAACATAATTTTTTCTTTAAAATATAGTCAAAAAAGACAAAATGGTTCAACGATGCAATTTACTGTGTCCGTTTTATTTGTATTCCCTCGAAGAAAACAACTCGTCAAATAAATGCTATTTCATGATAAAAAACACTAGGCAATGGATATTATTACCTTGGGATTTAAAGTCGGCTGTGCTTCGATCGCATATTTAAATAATCTTAGTTTATGTTTACCGTAAACTAACATTTACCCTAAAGAATTTTTGGTTACCAGGACTTAGTTTATGGAATTGTAAACCTTGACAAAATTATAAACCTACAAATGTAAATTACCTGCATACTATTTCCAACGTAAATTAGGTTATTTTAGGTATTTGTCATAGTTCAATTTCAGGGATTATTTTTAAATGTCGCCTGTACAAAATGAAAATGTGTAATGAATTTTCTATACTGAAATAGTAGACAAATTACCCACACACAAATCATTACAGCGTTACCATTTACGTGAGCCTAGAACGTGAAAAGATCGTTTGAAGCAGGCAAAAGTAGCAGCACATGTACAGTCTAGCAAGAAGTAATCATATAGTTTGTTTGTTTTTAAGCATAACTTGATATTTTTAGAAACCATTTTATATGCAAGGAAGAGGTACAGCCTGTTAAATAGCATTTAAGCTTTATATATTTTTTATTTCTTTAAAATTAAAAACCATGGAGAATCAAAGAAACAAATCCAAATATTAACCCCACACTGCAGTCATCAAGACAATTAAAATTTTTAAAACTGGTTAAAAAATTAGAAGAAAAAAATTCGGTCATACTAAGCTCTTTCAGATTGTTAATAACATTATTAAAACCATGACCAAATTATTTTAATGTTATCAGTAGGAAATGTGGTGTAATATTTTACTTTAATATAGATATGTAGTTCACATTTATATGACATATCAAACCCTCAAAAAAGATCTTGATAGTTACAGTATACAGTAGTATTCTTGTCCATCTTGTAAATAAAATGCCTTATTATGGGTGTTAGAGTAAAAACAATATGTCACTCTAAACAGTACTTTTAGTTGTTAAGATCCTGGAAGTTCAATAAAATCTAAATTTATCCTAAATAGACATTACAGAATGGTTACTGTATAAAGGGTTTTCTTTATCAAGTTGTTTTTGTCATATACCATATGGATTGCAGAGGGTACAAGCTGTAAGATCTAAATGTTTATGTTCACTATTGTTAAATTTTATCTTTATAAACAGCATAAATGCCTCATACACACAGTCATTTTTTTATTCCTCCAATATTTATAGGAATAATCATGAGGACAAGTGAATAACAGATATGTTGTTCATCAAGGCCATCATGAATTCATTGGTCTAATAGTACAATTCTTTAAACCTCATCAGGAAAAAATTCATACAGTTGTTTTAGCTAATATTGGATGTAGATATTGCCATGTTTGTTTAATAACTTGTATTTGTTCCAGCTCGAGTACTCATTGTACATTTTAATATCATACTACTTAGTAGAATGATAGTTTTCAATGTATTTTCTGGGATAATAGATCTTAGCTTTAGTTTTGATGTTATGATATTGAATGATCTGTTTGTTGAATAAATGTGTTTTAAATTGAGATAAAAATAACAAATCAAAAGCTAGCTTCAGAGAGAGTAACAAGTCAGTTTTTAATTTATCAGTTATCATATGTTTATTACCAATCTTTCTTAAACATATCTTGGATTAGTTTTGTATCATTTAATTTTCTATTTTTGTTTCTTGTGTCTTAATGACATGTGCTTCTCCAGTTTTGTTTTGTTTATAACTACATACATCATCTGGTACTGTTCATACTTTTATTTGTTTTTAATTCTTATATCTTTGTTTTTAATACCAGACAGGTTCAAGTGTGATTTTACTTGATATGAAATCTGAAATGATTGTTAACTGCCATAAATAGTTCCAACTATTACTTTTAATACAAGCTTTTGATTATAAAATAACTACAACAGGTGTAAAATTTTATTCTATAACTTTTGCATTTGACGAAAAAAAGATCCTATCTCAAAGTCAGTACTGTCATGTCAACTACATAAACTAAGTGTTGGACTCTGAGAATGCATGCTTTTATAGCTGCATACAGCTTACAAAGAATGATAACATACAATTATCATACCATTATATTTAAACTATTTTAAGGATAGATTAGTTTTAATTAAGTAATATGAATGAATAAATTAAGTGTAGCATAAACTATCAATAGCAAGTTCAGGTGGCAATCAAAAGTTTATAAGTACTTCTAGACCTCTTATGTTATTATTATATCATTGGTTAATAATCACTATATAAGAATTGCCAATTTTATTTTATCCTGATTTATTTTATCCTATCACAAAAAGGAACACATTTTGTGATTATGAAATAAGAGATGTATGTTTATATCAAGGTAAGTCAGTAGAATGCTAATGATCTCATTCTTCAAGGATTGAGTCAAGTGAATTTTAGAAAATAAACAGTATGTATCACATATTTGTTTTTTTTTATCTTTATCCAGTCTGTTTTGTCTCCATTGGGATTTTCCTAAAATTGTTTAAACATAATACATGTAGATGTTTATTTTTCTCTAAGTATCAGTAAAGCAGTAAAATTATGTATGTCATTTCATTTTCATTTAATCTCTGAAAACTTCTTTTGAAGTATTTCATTAGGTTTCTTGTTCAATGTGACTCAGTGGCTTCATGCTTTGGACTCATAGTGGAATGGTTGCAAGTTCCAGTCTGTCCTGTGTTATGCTATTCAGTCCTTGAGCAAGACACTTTACCCTACTTATTCCAGTCTACCCACCTATATGATGGGTATCAGCTGTTAGCTGGGGGTTAACCTGGATGGACTGGCATCCCATCCAGAGGAAATATGTCACTATTCTCATCTACTTATGCCACTTGAAACTGGAGTTTGAAAGTACTGGCCTTGTGTTCTTGCAAATGCATGACAATTATTTAACTTGTTCAGTTTCAATTATAAAGTTTTTATGCCGTGATGTACTTTGTTTTCCAGCTAAATCTAAACACACATTAAATTCCTTTGTGGTTAATCTGAGAACACTTGTGTTTTTGAAGAAATATATATTATTTAGCCAGTTTCTAATTCTGACCTCAGAAATGTGTTTCAGATGTTGAACTTTCCCTTCTAGGTAAAGGTAAGGAATGTTTAAAACACTGTTTTCTATATTTTTTACATATTTAATTTTAAATGATTGTTTCCTAGTAAAAAAAAATCTCTAGCTTATGAAGTCAAAGTCTTGTAACTAACTGTGAAGGGACTGACTCAAAGAGGATATGTGTGTGCAGGGGAAAATATTTTAAGTCAGATGTTCTAGAACCTTGTTTTTAACTTAGAATTTCTCCTTGCACATTTTTACATACATAGTCATGGAACTGTAATTATTCTTTCTTGTCAGTATATGTACATAATGATTTGATTGCATATGTATAGAGCTGCTTATAAGCTACTCTGGTTAAAGCAGTAGCTCATAATTCAAATTGCATGTAATCAAATCAGCGATATAAATATAACAATTCCGAATTGGAAGAAAAAGATGAGACAATTACTTACAGATGTAGAGGATTCATGTTTCATGGCTTGTTACTGCAATAAAATTACTCACTTTGGGCATAATGCACTACAAGAGTGACAGTCAAATCCCATTATTCCGTTAGATAGAATTGCCCAAGAGTTGCAGTGGGTGGTGGTCATTGTCTGACTTCTTGCTATCTTATGACTTCAAAATTAATTAGGCTATGTGCAGATATAGCCCTTTGTTCAAATTTGTGCAAATATCTCAAACACACTTTTTTCAAATAGTGTTTGTTTTGAATTTCAAGAGCTGGTCTTGGATTTTGCATTCATTTTAAAATGTTTATATTTTTCATCTTTGGTAGCTTTTAATGCAGTTGAATGATAAACAAGTTTCTTTTACAGGATGAAGAAGAAGAAATCAAGCTTGAGATAAATGTCTTAAAAAAGGTAGGAGAGAAATGTATACTATCGGTACATTTCATGAAACATTTTAATCAGTACTTAATATTTTCATTATATTTTTTATAAACAGTAATTATTTCCAACATTTTAAAGATCAAAGCTGTTAAAGTGTTTATAACCTTTAGAAAGATAAGTTATAATCAGGGTTTGATTTTTGGAGTATTTTAGTTTTTGTCTATTAAGAATGGAAGCTATTTTTCAAGTGTATTTAGCTGTATAATTTTTTTAAATTCTATTTACAGAGCATTTTGTAATAAATTGTGTGTGTGTATATATATATATATATATATATATATAAGTCAACAATAAGTTTACAGACTTTCAGTGCTAAAATCTGGAGTTTGATTCTTTGCATTAGATAGAGCACATATATAGTCCATTGTGTAGCTTTGTGCTAAAAAAAGCAATAACGACTGTATGTAATATGAAGTTTAGAATTTAAAAAAGGGTAACAGGCAGCATCTACATGTAACAGTAACCTGTAACAGCCAGGATTACTTTAATTTAATTCAAGCATTGTGTTTTTAAATAGCATTACTTTAAAAAATATCATCAGCACAAATTTTAAGGAAAATACGTGCTCTAATAGGAAAATAGTGTCTGGATGAAAAGGCACATTCCTTCATAAGGGCATTAGTTGTTGCCATGAGTGTACATTGTGGACATATAGTAATGTTATATAGATTTATATAAAATATGTAATATATTTTATAATTTTCTTATGGACTTAATTTTTTTTAGCTTAAGCTTTTTGTTTGGTATTGAGACAACATTTTGGTTTCAGGCTTAAGTCTTTTAACTTGTACCTATTAAAGGCGGTCAGCCTGGAATACAAAATGTTGTCTACATTACGCAGTCTGCATGTCAGATAGACTACCTAAATCCACCTTGAAAGAAGATTCAATGTTACTGGTTTGACGTTTATATAACCAACGTTCAAAAAATAACTTACCTTAGGCAGCAGATATGATATAATATATATTTCATTCAGTATTTGTGATTCATATTAGAATATGTATTATATGAAATTATACTTGTACTACTAGCTAAAGCCCATTTAATTTTTATTTGTTTTCTGTTTTAGTATTCCCACCACAGAAACATTGCAACATATTATGGTGCTTTTATTCAGAAGAGTCCACCAGGAAAGGATGACAAATTGTGGGTATGCTGGCTGGTTTTTATGTTAGTTTATCTTTGAGTATCGATAGGAGAAATATAGAAGGCCGGGATTACTGGGTAAGGTTGCGGGTTAAAGAATTATGTTTATTTGCTGCTATTTTTATTATATTTTTCACTGCAGGCAACTGAACTAGGAATCAAACATTACATAAACTAAGTGGTAGCTACATCTTTTCTATGATTGGTTGGACTATGGATTGGGCAATCACAAGTAAAATAATGATTTTCTCTATTTCATTACATAACATAACATAAACTAAAAACAAAACACACATTTCCCTCTTCAGAAGAAAATAAAGTTGTCTCGATCAGTTTCTCTTAGCAGTAAACAAACTTATCTTTTCCCACTGTTTTTAATTCTACTTTAGACGTAACTGAATTGTAAAAAATCATTATTAAAAATTGAAAATAAAAACAGTGTTTATTTAGATGCTGTTACTTTTGTTTTTATGTGTAAAATATATTTTGAACATTGGTTTAACTCGTATAAATGGTTTCTTTATAATAGCTGGTGATGGAATATTGTGGAGCAGGTTCAATTACAGATCTTGTCAAATGTGAGTATAATGTTTGTAACATTTTTGGGCATCAAAAATAGCTTGTCTTGAAGCTATACACATAGTACATTAATTGTGACAGAGAAAAAAATATCAAATTTGGAGATGTTTGTTTCTGCACAGATAAAAGAAAACTGAGGCTAAGCAAAAAATAAGGAAACCTGAAAGAATATTATAAAAGATTCAATTATTTTAACAAGTACTTTTCATTATGTCTGTAATTTTCATTACCACAAAACTGACCCATATGTATTAAAGCAACATAAGAAATTCTGTACACATAACTGAGAAACATATTATAAATGCCAGAAAAAATGTTTTGCCTACAAGTAACTGAAATCTAGTAATAAACAGGTGATAAAACTTTTATTCTTATTGATCATTCTTGTAAATTTACTTGTTTTGTTTCTATAAACATGTTATTAGGAACATTCATTAACAAGTAACTGAAGCTACAGTTTTGAGAATTGGTCTGTTAGTTCCAGTGAACAGTTTATCTATAGACCCTACCATATATATATTAGTTAATTCAACAAGGCTATTTTCTTTATGGCTGTTTTTGTATTACTTGTAAATGTTTCTTTTTTGTTTTGAGATTTAAGAGTGGTTAACATGATTTGTACTTGTTACATTGTTTTTACACCTAATTCTATTTATAATGACAGGTATTAACTTTATATGTAAAAAGAAATGTGCTTCTGTCTTCTCATAAATTTGCAGTATATTGTGTGTGAGTGTGTGTGCGTGCGTGTGTATATATATTACACAATGGGTAAAATCAATTTTAATCACAGAAATGGGCAAAGCATGTATTTTAAACATTTATTTGATAAATCTTCAGACATTTAACAGAAGTGTCTGTCTGAACTTGCAATGCAACTTTCTGTAAGTTAACATTAACTATATAGGAAAAACATGTAAAGAAAGAATCAGTATGAAAACATCTGACTTCAAAGAGTCTGATTAAAGTCAAATAAGTTTTGGATAAAGAAATCTAAAATAAAAAAAAACTGTTAAACAATGGATTTTCAAAGTCTTTGAGGCCGGAATCTTAAACAAATTTGTCATATTTTAACTATTACTATATGTAACATTCAGTTTTGGGGATAAACTAAATTAATTTAGTTTCTCTATATTGACTTTTATGAACATAAACTATTTAACACTTTGAGATAATACGCTTAGTTTGGCATTAATTTAAAACTTAAAAGTAGTGTTGTTTCTTATTGTTGGGGTTTTATGGTTAAATGTTATATTTATGTTTGGATTTGTACAAACTTAACTAGAAGTTAAGAATATTTTGATGGTCACAAGATCATGGTTAGGTGCATAACAAACACATTTTTGTGTATGTGTATCATGATAGGATCTTATTGAACTGTTGATATGACTCATTACAGATGTTTTGTAGCTCTGTGATAGATATTTGTAAGTTAGTTTATCTCTCACTTAAAATTATACTTTCATTTATTGCTTTAAATAAACTAACTTCATCAAATTATGTTCTACAACAATCAGTAGCATAGTTTTTGAACTAAATATTTGTATTGTTCTTTGTTTCAGCAACCAAAGGACTGTCTCTGAAAGAAGAGTGGATAGCTTATGTTTGTAGGGAAATTCTTAGAGTAAGTTTTTCTGATATCTTAAAAATTTATAGAAAATACAAAAGAAACTTGTTACTTCAGATTTTACTGTAATAACTGCTTAGAAATCAGAAAAAAATAAATACACCGTAGAAATTGGCATATCTAGTATTGTTTAAAATAGTTGGTCTTGTTTAACTTTTTTTTTCACTAAATTTTATTCATAGAAAAAAGATACATTCCCAAAATGTTTTTCTACAGAATTTTTTTTTCTAATAAAACAATCAGCTATAAAGTTCAATGTAGCTTTATAGTTGTTATAATTTTCTAAGATTATACAGAAATTGTTTTATTTTAATTCTTAGGGTCTAAGCCATCTGCATGCAAACAAGATCATTCACAGAGATATTAAAGGTCAAAACGTCCTTCTAACAGATAATGCAGAAGTAAAACTGGGTATGTATTAACCCTTCCATTATGGGCTGGGTGGAATCCACCCAGCTTGTAACCATGAGAGTAATTACACTATGATTTTTGATAATGTACGCAGGTTATTGTTAAACATTACAAGGTTTTTGTACACAAAATATCAGGTTTTTAAATTAAGTATTAAGATTTTTTAATTAAAGATTTTCTCCTAAACCTTTTTTTTTTCAGAATGTTGACTATCCAACATGACATCAATTTCAATTTTAATATTAAAAATACTTTAATGCATTAGAACATTTTCAAATTTCACATGCGAAATCTATATAATCTCTAGACAATTATAAAAAATTTTGCAGAGAAAACTTAGAATTTTATTTGTTATTTTCATTAATGTACGGGTTGGTTCGATTTGACCAACTTCGTAACCGCAATAAAAAAATTTTAAAAAGTAAATTATGCTTTTTTTCATTCTAGAATGACTACAGATTATAACATGAAAACACAAATATTTAATCTAAATAGCTTACAGCTCATAACATTATACATTTATATATATATTTATTATATTGACCTTCCAGCTATTCCTAGCTAACAATACAGAAGTTACAATGACATGGTGCACGTGCATTCGTGTTACCATATCCAAAAATATATATAACTGACCTTTAGTCTTTACAAAGTGACCTGTCTTGGCTGTGTTTTAGTAGACTAGCATTTTGTAAATTACAGTCACATTTCAATTCTTATACATTATATATGTATATAGACTATTTCTCTTTAGAAATAAATTCTTAAACTTATTTTTCTTAAAACATAGAACAGTAAGTAAAGAAGTAAAGCAAACAACTATCTCTTCTAGTTATGACCTTTTTACTTGTTTGCCTCTTGTCAAAGGTTGCTAACCCTTATGAAATTTTCCTCGCGGAAGATATGAAAAGAATGTTTTTTTAGTTTTATCTGTACATTTTAAATAACCAAAAAATTCATAACTTACTACATCAATACCATAGAATTCCACTATAATTTATCAACCATAGTAACTAGGCTGTATTTGGGTCTAAAAAATATGAAATTTCAAGCCACTAAAAACTTACCTCATCACTTGAAATCGTTTGTGAAAAGAACGAAATTAGCACAGTAACACATCAGAATGGATAAGAAAACCACTAGGGGGAGCTTTTGGTTGGTTATTCATGTCTTACATAAAAGTAAGTGTATATAAGGGACCATTTACAAAAATTGAAAGAGGTAGGCAGGGGGCCAATGTGTTTGATTCAGTACAGGAGCAGTATCTTAGCAAATAGAAAAGATAAAAGGTTCTTATTTTATATTATAGCTTGTCAATATCAGTAGTTTGAGTTTCTAATTCGTATGAAACTATAGACTTAGTATTTTGACATCAAAAACATCTAATTTGAACCAGTGCTGCATTCAACATACTGCATGACACACAAAAATCGATGTTTATCAGTTTTTTGTAATATTTACTTTTAAATTAACAAATTTAGTAATGTATAGTTGTGAAATTTGAATTATAATCTACAGTTTGATACCAAAATTATAGACATAAATTCATGAAA